CGAAAGCTGAACAAGCGACCGCCAGTAGCGGTGGTGTCTAGAGAGTGCTTGCAAGTTGTGCAATCCACCAATCAATCCGCGTGATTGCACGCGGCAGCATCATTTTTCGCAGTTTTGACTCCATGCCTGGCTTGGCTCAAAAGGGCTCATGCCCATTGAGCCGGCAAATCATAACCGCCACAGCCACTTATATAGGTGACCAAAGCCAAGCCAGCTCTTCATTTTCTTCAATTGCATGCTGTTCCACTGAGCGGGGCCAGCAACACTAACCACAAAGCAAAAACGCCGGTCGCCAGGCCGATCGGGCCTCCCAAGGGCAGGCAGCCAAGGGTTTGATGCCATGCCGCGCTTGCTTCCATTAATCCGGAAGTGGTTTTTCAGCCGTGTCGACACAGCTGTCAGGACAGTCTTTTTCGATGTGCAGATGTGCAGAACAGCCATTGCTCAGCAGATAGCTGGCTTAGCTGTCAGGAACATTTTCCTTTCATGGCTCCTTATTGTGTTTTCAATTGCAGCAGGGAAGAGGGCCTTGGGTGGCTTGCCTGCAGAACAGTTAAGAACGCACTTGTGAATCAGTCATAGACAGAGGAGGCGTGCCATCGGACACCATAGGGGGTTTCGCAAGGCTATGGACCCGCTCGCCCTGAAAATTGGGCAACCCGAAGGAGGCACCCTGCAGAACCCGCTTTTGCGGAAGATGATGCACCCAGCTTGAAGTGCTTGCAGCTGCTTGGCGAAGCAAGTCTGAAGATCGAATCATGATGAATCATCAGATGCTTCAGACTTGCTGTTTGCATCTCACGTTTGGCATTTTTGTGAGCCAAACCATGCAGTCCCTGTACCTGAATCACAGAGCGGACAGCCCAGCTTTGCATGCCCAAGGCTGACATCATGCCTTGAAGGAAGCATTGAGAAACTCATGCAGCCCTCTAGAGATGGTCAGGGTTGGTGCGGCTTTTGTTCTGTCTGCAAGCGACCTCTAGAGGCACGCCCCCTGTGCGACGTCTTTTGGTCGTCGTCTTTTGGTTGTCAGCCAGGTCCGGGTGGCTGATGGAACCAGGTCCGTGCGGCATGACGTTGGAACGAGCGCACGTGGACGTTATGCTTTCTTGATCTGCTTATGGGGATCGTCAAAGGACTGACCGTGAAACTTCGTCGCATGAACAGTTGAAGTCTAGTTTATGCTGCGGCTGGGCTGGGCCGGCTTCAAACAAATTTAATTTGGACATGCTCTTGGGAGGACTACGTCCTCGGAGCACTGGTCCTAGGTTGGCACAGTTTGCTGCACCAAAGTATGTAACAAGTGCGGCCCGAAACTGCTTCCCGCCCATGCAGGCTTCTCCATCAAGCGGACGAGAACCAAACATTCCCTCGTTTGTTTGCACACTGAAGATGTGTCTCCGGAGCACCTGAAGCTGCTGCAGATCTTCTGGGATTGCCGATTGGTGGAGCACATTGAGGCCCGAACGCCACTGCGTTTGGGTGGCAGACCATCAAACAGAGAGCGAGAGCGAGAGAAATAGAGAGAGAGAGAGAGAGCGCAAGAGATGGAGATGTGGGAGTGTCGGCTTGTACTTGGGGTTGATGTGATTACTGCAAATACATGCAGAAACCCATGTAGTTCATGCACTCCCGGTCTACATGGCGCAGGTGGCGGCTGCCAAGCGGCTGAGCACAGATGATTTCATCGAAGAGTCACGATTCTTCAAAGTCTTCACTAAGCTCAGGGCCTTGGAGCAGGTGGATTTTGAGAAGGTATTGGTCATGGACATTGATTTACTGGTCCCTCGGCAACACCTGAATAGCATTTGAATCTGTAAGCTGAAGGCTGCACAGGCATAGTTCCAAGTTCAGTGAGAGGGAATTGTGAATGTCAGGTCCTGTCAAGCGTTGACAAACTGTTTGAGCTACCAGCCCCGGCGGCCCTAAAACGGGGCATGAACCGGGGCAAATGGCCCTACAAGCATGGACGCACGGCAGCACTAGACACCCCCTCCGCATGTTGGAGTGATGAGACTTTTGTGCTGCCCTATGTTCAAGACGACTAGTAGGGATATGTATATAAGGATTGCATAAAGACCCTACCCACCCAGGAATGTACAAATAGAGGGGCTGCCGATTGCTCTTGTCAAGAGCACCATTTCGGGGGAAGGATCTTTTCTAACCATCGTCATCCCTGGACATGACATCGGCCTCCTTTGTTTGTGTTATCTCATGCATTGGACACACCGGCCTCTTCAAGGGCAGCTCAAAGTGATCACTTTTGGGGGGGGATTCTGGTGGGTTGGGATATTGTATTCATTGATTGTCATTGCAGGATTGATTTGTCAATGATCGACTTGTTAGCTTTACAATTATGTTTCTCAATCATCCTTGTAGTTTCTTGTGCTCATTCGGTGACTGTTGATGCTCTCAGTTGTTTGCTTGGAGACTTGAGTGTTGCATCCCGCTATCCATAACTTGAGGTGATGACATTGATGGAACCACATTCTTTTCCGGAAGCGAGCCCGACAAGACCCATTCCTGGGGGGCAGGGCACCGGAATCAATGCGGGTGTGATGTTGCTTGCGCCAAACATGGCCGACTTCCTCCAAATGCAGGCTCCGGGGTCACGTAAGGCTTGATGATCTCCATGACTGTGCTGTATGGGAGGCAGAATTGAGGGAGCCATGGCATCCTGGCCATGTCCGTGGAAACGGTCCAGAGCAGGATGGATGTTCGATGCTGGTTATCCGACATTCTTGACTGATGCAGAATATCATTTTTGGTTTCGCCGCCCCCGCTTCAAACATGACTGTTTGGGAAGGACTATTTGAGCCGCTTTTTTGCTGATCGGCCATGGAGGCACATTTCAGCAACTCGCTGGCAATCGGAGTCCTTATAGATGAGTTGTAGCTAATTACTTACTTAGTTATGTCAGTGATGTCCACTGATTTTGAGTCTTTTGTATCGCTAGTGTTGCTTATCGCTAGTGTTGCTTTCCTCTGGGGGAATGTGCACATACACCTACCTGCCCCCAACCAGTTTCGTGGCCTGAGGTGGAAAACAATTTCCAGGTGCACCACATGTTCAATGCTTTGCACCCATGGCTGGGTGATGCCGAACGGCTGGTGGTCTCCTGACGGAAAGGGCATCGGTTTGTCTCACGGGCCGAAGCATTGCTTTTCGGACGTTACGACGTGGACATCTAGCGGGGGGCATGGCGGACCTGGGAAGGAGATTCCAATAACCACTCCGAAGGCGGTGTCCAATCTGCCTTGTACACCAACATTTGCCAACTACAGCATTAAAACATTTGCCAACTGCAGCATCACATGTGGGATTTGGTCTATGCAGATTGTAGATGCCTATGAGCTATCACAAGCTACAGTATGCGTGTTCCAGTGAGACAAACTCGCCCCGAAAGAGGTCTGTCTCTCGTTCTGTGGCGAGCGGTATCCTTCACATGCAGCCAGATGGAGTACAATATGTACAATGAAAAATTGTTCTGCCTTGCCTGTTTGTTGCAGTTAGTGCAAAACATGTAGGTACCTTTTGGTCTCCCAGTCTAGCCAAATTTTAGTCCTATATAATTAGTGAGTGCGCAAATATATATATATATAGATACATATACATACACACATACATACATACATACATACATACATACCTACGTACATACATACATACATACATACATACATATCTAATATGAGAGAGAGAGAGGGAGTGACACCCAAATCTGCATGCTTCGTTCGCTTTGGCTGTGAAAGATGTCGTGCAGGTGTGTCAAAACTACCAGACCGTCCGCATCGTCCACTTCTCGGGAGATTCTGGAGTGAAGCCTTGGACACGCTGCTTGCAGAAAAGCTTTGGATGGCCCAGCCGAGACCAAGATGAGGAGCATCTTGGCATTCTTGGCACTTGGGTGATTATGGTGACGGTGGAAGAAATTAAAAGGATAATATTACGATGCATAGAAGAAGTGGTGCGACAACAGCGTGGCTTCAAAAAAGCATTTGGCCTGATGAATGTTCTCTCGCAGCTTTCATTCAGGTGTCCCCTTTAGAGGTGGATTCTGAGAACTGTGCGACAATGGGGTGTAGGTCAGACGACGGACCTTCCCAGGTACATGCAGTCGTTTCTCTCAGATCATCATTCCTATTTACTGTGGGTGAAGAAAGATCCAGAGCGGTGGAGCAAGATGGAGAGGCAGGAACTGACTTGAATTGTGCAATTCCCAGGTCCGTGCGCAAATGAATGTGACTCGAAGCATCTCCCAGCACACTCTTTCCTGGCAACAGGAACATGTTTGACGACAGCAGCCTCAGGGGCTTCAGCCTGGGTCAAGATGGCCGGATGCTGATGGCTTAGAAATCAAGCATGACATTCTGGCTCTTGTTTGCAAAGGTGCCATCTACTTTGAAGATGAGAGTGGGAAGGTGCTGAAGGAGACGTCCCAGGAAGCCATCACTGCAGTCATGGATGCCACGAGGTCCAGCTGACTTGATTCAGCTGTCCATGATTTTTTTTTCATGTGAGAGTGGGGGACAGCATCCTTCTGCACACACACACACACACACGTGCACGCGCACACGCGCGCACACACACACACACCAACGACACTTCACAATGCTTCATGGCATGGCAAGGTATTTTCTCAAGTCCTGGTTTGACATGCTAGAGGCCGTGAACTTGTGAAAGCTGCTCCGAAAAGAGTCAAGCATCTCCTGGTTGTCGGTGTCAGTTCAGGCTGCCGGAGCTTCGTTGCAGAGGAACTTGGTGGAAGAGTTGATCTCAGACCAAGCTGTTCCTTCAGGCGGACTGCACAGGTTCTTCACATCCTTAGCTTGAGATGACATGTGAGAACTTGAGATGTGCTGCTTCTTGAGCTTGGCTCAAGGCTCAAGCTCAATCATCAGCTTGTGAATATCGCCTATGAAATCTGCAGGCTCAACCCCTCACATAAATACGTTTTATGGCTCCCCTGATGCGGGGGGGTCACGGGGTGATTTTATAGAGAAAAGGGGTTGATTGTGGACACTGCTGTGAAAGATGAGATGAACAGGGAAGATCTATAGGATATGATATGTGACATGTGATGATACGTATGTGTGTTTTTGCTGACGTACAAGTGTATTTCTGAGGTAAGGTATGCTGATTTTATACTGAATTACTGTAGGTTTTTGTAGCAAACCTCATGCCTAGTCATTTTATGCCTTTTTCTATCCTTGAGCTGGTTACCCTGACTGCCATATTGTAACCATAAAGCAACTACATGCTTTAACTATCAACAGGATGCTAGCGCCGGGCAGACCCCGATGTGTGCCGACCACCTCGAGGCCTTTTAGGCCAAGATTAGGATGCTAGAGCGCCATGTTCGGGAGTGTGCTGCACCTGCCGTTCCTTGCGGTGAGTGCTGCCCCAGATGCAACCTGTTCGGTTTTGGAAAAGCTGGATGGTGTGCAGTGCTATGGGCTCGAGAAGGCGAGCACGCAAAGCGAATGCCTCACGCACGGTGTTGATGCCATGCTGCGTGTGATTCTTGGCTCAGGACGACATGCCGGACGCAGAGGCTTGTATGGAAGCTTGCTGCCGCGACACATCTTGCGAGGTACACCCTGATGTTGCGTACAGACCCGAGTCAGCTGCGTCCAACATGTGCTCGTCGCAGGTCTGGCAGTTCAATCCGATGTTTGCTTGCTACCGCGGAAAGTCTAGCGTTTGCATGAGAAGTGGAGAAGCCCAACTGCAGAGGGGGGGGAGTTGTGGAGTAGAGTAGGCTCGTAGAACCCCCAAGAAAAAATCAAAACTCATACAGCATCCCACACGTCACAACTTTGGATGGTTCACCATGGTTCACCGTGACACCGTTGTGAGAACGGTGTCTCGACGTCGACGCGTTGCACGCTGCACCAGAGACCCCCAGGATCACATGTTCTTCCCAAGCCACACGCGCACACACTTGGGAGAACTCGCATTGGAATTGAAAGCCATTCGCCACACGGCGACCTAGGTAACCAAATCCCTGAGAGAAGCATGTACATAGGGGGGTTCTGAGCATCTTGGAGGTCATCGTTGAGGGAGGAGGCCCAAATTGTTCAAAGTTTCAAACTCCAACGCCGGAATTCGCGAAACGACAAGATGACGATGAACGCTCACATTTGCAGAACTCATTTGCACTTCACAGGAGAGTAGGATCACGGCTTGGGCAACAGTTCAAAGAAAGGCAGGTACGTGCAATCTGCCTCCAGATTGCATGTCACAGCAAACTTGAAGTGTCTTCGTTGAGCGGTGACTTCAAGTATGCCCACCACCAAAAGGCCCCCCTTTGAGTCCAATGTTGTTGTGCGATCGAAATTAAAGCGGTTGAAAGCATGCCGGAACCTATTTGCAGTAAAATAGTCATCACTTGAAATAGGAGGCATGCCAGTCAGCCAGCCGCAACTGGGTTTCGGACATCTCGCCGGAATCCTTGTCCAGTGGCTTCAAGGACTCCTTTGCCAGTGGCAGCGTTGGTGAGCGGCTGCGTGGCTCAGCATTTGCTGGAAATGGTATCCACTGGTTTGGCCGCCAACAAAACTATGTGACTGTGCTCAGTTGACTTGACCTGGACCTTGAGTGTGGGCAAGAATGTAGGCATATCATGGCATATCAATTGTGAAGCTGACAGAAGTACAATGACCGAAGAGGGTTCCTGGAGACTTCGAAGAAAGAGAGAAACCATCAGATGTTGAAATTATTTCGAGAGGCATCAGATGTTATAGCTGGGTGTTTTTTTGGAGCGTCAGAACTGATGGGAGCGTGAGACCCAGGCAGAACTGGTGGATTTGGATCCTGAAGCCTTTGGACCTCGGGAGCTGGTCATTCAAGGCCTTTTGTCCGGGCATGCAGAATTTGAGGCTTGACCTCTAAAAAGGGTTCACGTTCAAAGTGTTTGGCTTTGAGGTCACCAAGCATGTTGCCTTGGTTCGCCGGGTTTGCTTGCTCAGTCAGTTGGTGCTTGACACATTGGTTTTGTTTTTTGATGCCTTTTCTGCCCAAGCTCTGCCAACCACCAAAGGTGGGTTCTGGCATGGCACAGGAGTAGGACCCAAGCTTTTACCTGTCCTCTTCCGAGACGAATCGACGGAGCTACGTGCCGCGTGGGCATGGAAGATCTTGCGCAGGTCATTGGAAGGCAATCTGCGGACACGGATGCGCAACATGTTCAACAGCAAGACCTGAACAGGCTTGTTAGCTGGATGACCCGCATGGAGGCAACCTGTTGGCATGTTGCGTTCGCTTCAACATCTGGATGTAGTTGTGGGTGAAATGTGAAACACACAAAACATCACAAAACCATAACCAACTGCTCAGGACGGGCGGACCTGCACCACTTTTTGTATTGTATCTTTTGTCACATCGGGTTCCCACGCGGGTTGGCGGGTGTTGAGGCGACGCGTCCTGAGCTTCTTCGGGCAACTCACTTCTATCGCTTGCTGCAAAACTTTGGGTATGTGATCCGAAAGTGACCTGGATTGCGCAGCCTGAAGTTTGGAGGTTTCCAAATAGGATTTCGTTGTACATAACACACATGTGCGCTCGTTTGATGGACGATGGACATAGCCGACATAGCTCTCTTGCACACTTGCCACTGTAGTGAAGCCGTGCAGGTTCCGGAGGGTAGTTCTGGATTGAAGAAGCAGGGATCCGTGAGGCATGGCCAAGGAGGATCCGTTGCGCCGATGAATGTAAGATGGCTCGACGTTGAAGCAGAGAGTGCAGAAGTATGGTTGAAATATACTGGTGGCAACTGGCCTATCGCCTGAGGGCCAACGCAATGGGGAAACCTTACTGCCGTCATTACTGTCGAGCCCTCATTGGCCCGAGCAGTCGAAACGGTCGTTCACCGACCAAGGAGGATCACTGCTATAAAAGAGGCCACCTTTTCTGCGCCCACCTTCCAGACTTGACACTGAAATGCCGAAGGTGTAGCAGCAGTCCAAGGCTCAACCTGAAGTAACAAGGGCATCGCTACTAGAAACAAAGGGCATTACTAGTAGCAAGAAGTAGCTTCTTGCTACTAGTAATGCCCTTTGTTTCTAGTAGCGATGCCCTTGTTACTAGCTCCTTGCTACCACAATTGGTCCGAAACCTACCCGATTTCCTCTCGGGAGTGGGGGATCTGAATCAGTCTCTCGGCTCTTCGGTGGTTCTTCGGCAGGCTGGTCCTCCTCCCTCTCTTCGCTCGTTGGCCTCCTTAGTAGCTTCTTGCTACCAGGTAATGCCAGGAGCTACTAGTAGCTTCTTGTTACTAGTATTTAGTGATGCCCTTGTTAATATTGTTACTAGGCCTCCTTATACTCGACCCTTTTTTTATACTTTACCGGGCCTTGACCCCTTTTCAACTTTCAGTTCCGCCCATACTCGCCGTGGCGAGGTGGAGCAACATGTTGGGTCAACGGAGGGAGTTAGCTCCACTTCACAACCCGAACGAGGGGTCAAACATGGTCAAACAGTACTGTAACATTTTACTAGCAAAAACTCGTGGAACTTACTCATGATGCGGCGGGGCTAACCCCCACTCACTCGTTTACTGTACCCAACAGGGGTCATGATAGCAGGCCACTGGCAGGCTGCCCAAACAGAACGAGGACCTGTCGGTCCTTGGTCCTTTTTCTCGGTGTTTCACTGAAGGGTCACGTCACTGGAGCTCAGCGAGCTTTGGTGATGCCCGAGAGTGGTGGCACCATGCCCGAGTCTACCATGATCAATGATCTAAAGCTATTTTGTGACACAACTTCGGAGCGCATTGAACACAAGGCATGTGAGCTTTTGCATATAGGTCGTTGGGCTGATGCGCGCGAGCTGATGTTTCTTCTGATGAAATACTTTGTTGAAGCTAGAGTTCTTTGATGTTCTTTGGCCAAAGGAAGCTTTCCTTTTTTTGGTCGCCTTCCGTGTGCATCCTCAGCGCTGCTGCACGAAACGGGGCATACAGTGTGCATTGAAGTGTCTCAGGAACATTTGTTTCATCCTGAGAGTGCTGATGCAAGTCCATAAGTTAAACCACTTACCAGCTGTGCTGGCTCCTTGCAATTGCCATTTGGACAAAAGATGACAACAGGAATCAAAGCACTCTCCGCCAAACCTTCTCCAACAGGATATATATATTATTAAATAACATGTTACATAGTCAGCCTGTGACAATTTATACAGTGGCTGACGACTGTCTTGACAGAATTTGCCATATGTTTGAGCTAGAATATGTCTTCAGTAGGCCATGGATGGGAAACTTATCAGCAGAATCCAACGTTCTAAGCTAGGGCGATTATTGCCAGATTGACTTCCAGTTGTTTTTGTGTCTCTATTTGTTGGATCAACTTCAAAGCTTCCAGATCGATGTGATTCTAGACGCATTCGATTACCTGGGCTGTTGACCGAGCCGTGCGCTATGAGGCCACATGCACGCAGCTTTCATCATTGGAGCTTTATGACGCAAAAGATTGACCAATTTTTATCCCATTCATGGCGAGGGCAGAGTGGAAGAAAGATCATCATGCTTATGATACTCAAGAATGGGTTGCTTGCAACTACCCTGGGCACTTGTTGTGCCGTTATCATGATGCTGCTCTTTCTGTTTGAGATCCTACCTGACTGTCACAAGCTCCAGCTTTTCGACGGTGATGCAGAACTCACATCAGTGTGGTCCTTGCTCACCGGGATGCTGGTCTTTGTGGCTACTTTGCTTTGGCACAGGCCACGGGAAAGCGTCTTCATGGACCAAGTTTGTATTGACCAGGAATCCTCGGTCTCTAAGGCTGAAGGACTCTTGAATATGGGAGCCTTCTTGCGTGCTTCTGCCTCCATGCTCGTTCTTTGGGACAGCACATATGCCAGAAGATTGTGGTGTGCCTTGCTGTCGACGCAAACTGTTCACAACCTGTGAAAAACCTCATGGGCCATGTCTGTTTTGTGAAGTTCAACCATTCTTTGCAAAGAATGTGCAATTTTCCGTTTCATTAAAGATATTTAAGCCCCAGTGGAGCGCCCCACGAACTGAGGTGTGTTTGAGGTGGCTGGCTTTTTGCATAGCAGCACCCTTGACGACCAGAAGAAGAGACCCCTCGAGGTGAAACCGACCTTTTTGGCGCCTTGCACGGTGGCGATGATGCTCTCATTGTTTGGGGCAATGCTGGTGCTCCTCGTAGTGCCTTTTTCCAACGTCACTCTTGGGGCGAGTCTATTTGGAGTGTTGTCAGTGAGTTGCTTCTATTTGGCCACTGGCTCCTTCAGAGCTTACTACAAGTCAGTTCATAATCTCCAGGAGCAGCTGCAAAGCTTTCACATTGACGATGCCAAATGCTTGTGCTGTAGCCGAAATCATCTTGATTCAAGCAATAGTCCGATGGTGTGCGATCGGGAGATCATTGTGGAATGCATCACGAACTGGTTTGGGAGCAGCGAGAACTTCCATGAATGTGTCCGCTCGGTGGTCTTCGCAAACCTCTCCGAGCACCTTCTGAAGTCTCCTTTTCCTGTCCCGAAGCTGCAAATGTTCGGCGGAACAAAACACATTCCCCTTTTTAAACAGACTCCAATGGCGAAGTGTACGGGAGTCCCAAGTGGTGGTTCTTATGGTTCTTCGGCTCAGGGGTTTGCCAAGGTTGTTCTTTGGGAGTTGAGTGCGTAAAAGAGTCCTGAGAGAGCCAGAGAGAGAGAGAGAGAGAGAGTAAGTCTTTAGTCCTTGATAGATCTGGGGGACAAAACGACAAGGCCAAAAGGCATGGGACCGCTCTTGCCTCGGATTTGTCGCTATCGCAGGCGTCGTGGCTGATTATGGCCTCCACTCCCATTCTTTGGGCTGAGTTGGATGGTATCGCCACGCAGCTTCGTGAGGGCGATGTTCCCTTTGCCATCAAGTGGGGTGTGAACGGTTTAATGTGGTGGCTGGCAGGCTTTCCTGCTGCCTTTTTAGGCTCCATGAATTCCATGAACATGTAAGATTTTCAATGTTTGTTTTCTTTCTTACGATTTCTTAAGGCACTGCACTTTCTGTTCTTTTAGCGGGGCCGCCTCATCAAGCTCAATCTTTGGCATTTGAGGTTGGTGTGGATTTTGCAATTGCTGGCGGGCAGCAACGAAATTTGATTGCTTGGTCAACCTCGCCGGTGCTTGTGTGATCGTTGCTACGATGTGCTTGGTGTGGTTGTGTGAATATGGCCTCGCTTTTGCAGTGAAGGACGGTGTTCTTGCATCGGTGCTCTTTTTTCCCATCATGCTGCTCGTGACGGCTACTCTGTGGAACCTCCGCTGTTGCAACCGGCATGTGTGGACTTCGGAGCGCATGACCGACAGCCAAAATAGCCATACCTTCAACTCAAGAGACATATGAACGTCATAGCCAACATCATCCACATCAAGACGTGCCCGAGATCATGGGAGATACTATGGTTGAATGGGCTTACATTGACCTAGTCATTGACCTGTTTCTGAATTTCTGACGGTTCATAATGATTCTTCGTCCTTTATAGGTCCTAGGGCTTTGAGAGCCGAATCAATGCCACCTGGACAGCAACTTCATGCAAGGTCCGGCAGCTCATGTACTGAGAAGTGCTGAACAACCGACCTTGTCCCTTGTAAAATCCTGTAAACATGTGGGCGTGTTGGTGGCATGTAGTTGCAGAGTCTCACGCATCCAGCTGAGCATCTTGCTTGCTTGCTCCAGCTACGTATGTTCCACAACACTGACGTAGATTGATTCCTTCTATATAGGATCATCTCTTTTTTGAGCGCGCAAAGTGCAACATGCCAGTTCAGGATGGAGCAAGTGATGTAGTAATCAACGCTTTTGATACGGTGGCATGTGTGAAACGGGGCACTGACTGTGAGACTAGACACAGAGCCTGAGCGCATGAACTACTTGTGGCACTCAAAGAGTTAGAAGTAGCCTCACCCCGGTCGCAGTTTGGAACTTAATGATCTTCAGCAACAAAGTTGTCTCACCGTATTAGAAGGCCTTTCACATTTTTTGAATTTTGGGCTGTGGCTGCAACCTTGCCGCAGTATGAGGTTTTCAGAATCTGGGCTCAATTGCTCTAAGTAGCCAGTTGACAGCCTGGTCTCAAACTCATAACCCATTGCTCAATGCTCATGGAAAGACGCATGTGAATGCAATTCATAGCACCATCATGCACATTGCGGAGTCTCTTTGTGGGTACTTGTACGTAACTTGTTCGAGGCACAGCTGAACAAATTCCTGTCCAGGCTTAGACGGTGAAAGCTACCGCCTTTGGCGAAACGGTGCCAGACTTGAGGTGGGGCATTTTTAGAGGATCAACGAGGTTTTGTGTCAGGTCATGCCAGGTACTTTGGACTCCGTGATAATTGTGAGTACATACGGCTAGGTGGATATCTCATGCTGGTCGAACAGTCGGCACCCACAAGGGTGCTGCGATTGGCCACGAACACCTACACCTCCTCGTCCATGTTGGGGAGATGCAGGCATGGCAGAGCACTGCTGCAAGGCACCTGGGTGTAAAGATTGCACTGAGCCGGTTGGCACGCAGGCAGCCAAACTAGCAAAGGGTGACAGAAGAGATATTTTTCACACACCAATATTGTCAATGTGCTTAAGAAGGAGCGAGACTTAAAGGTGGACCCCTTGCATTCTTGGCCTCTCAGGTGGGGTACATAGTACAGAGATATACGGAGATGTATATAATTGGGAACAAGACCTGGCTGCTGGCCAGTCTTCATGCGTAAGAACAAGACCTCACAGACTCACAGAACACGGAAAATGGAGGCTTCCATTTCGGCACCGCTAACCGCCAAGCGTCCCCACGTTGGCAACCAATCATGCAGCATATTGCAGATATCAGATATCAGCTTAGGGTGATTACTATCATTGCCATGTATATACATTCCATGCCTTCACAGGAATCCGTTTTGATTTGCGACAAGCGTGCTGCGCGTGTGTCAGCGTCCAACCTGGTGTTGGTTTGTGTGCCCCTACATTTATACATGCAGTACAGTATTTATATTCCCAGGTCACCCGGACCAGACGCGCAGGGCAAGGTCATTTTGGGCTAACACATCCCATGAATTGCGGTGAAGATTCCCCACGAGGGCAGATGACGTTTGTTCTGAGCCATTCACCTGATGACGGTTGTGGCATACTGTACGGACCAGCCACACGCTGAGGGCAGAAATAAGTTGGATCCTTCTGCAACATGATGGGTCCTGGCAGACTCAGCTGCACGCCCCCGCTGGGATGCAACATTCTAGTAAGGAAGGTTCAAGAGGTAAGCCTGATGAGTCCAAGTGCGCCCCTTTCAGCTTTCGGCCGTGAGGATGGCGTTTCAGCTGACCGGAAGTTTTTGTACAACGCCCAGGACCCCAGGCAATGCGATTTTAAACTTAGGCAACGACATGGATCGGCATATCAAGGCAATGTTCTGAAATTATTTTTGAACCCGCCTTCACATGCCTTGACGACATGCCCCTCATTTGTGGCCCGAGGTGTACACACGCCGCTTGCTCCAATTCTGGTCATGTTTTGCTCAGCTGTTTCGTGTGATGCATTTTCAGACTCATCCAGTCATTAGTTGGTGTGGATGACGATTGAGGCACCACACCTTTCTTGTCTCATGCGGAGCTGGCATACTTTGAGCGGCTTTTGCCAGAAGAGAAGATCAATGAGGCAAACTTCAATGCAAGCAGGCACCAACCGCGTCTGTCCACCATGATCACCATGTTTCTAAGTGTTCATGTCCCTTTTCAAGCATAGAACGGTGGCCCGTCGTCGAAGAATCACTAGCTGCAGTACTAGCTGCCGTCGCGGGTTCGTATCTTGGCTGGCCAGTTCGCCATCGATTTGTCAGGACCCGTTGGGCTTCAGGTTGGCATCCTCCAGATCTCTTGTGCCCTTCGGCATCCATGGCCATAGATGGCCAAAGGGCCACAGTGGATGCGCCACTCAGCTGTCACAGCTGTCCTTTGCAACTAAACAATCGGCAGTCCCAGAAACTGAGGTCCACCGTGCTGTGGCCCTTGGCGGTCCTCCTAGCGGCCCATATGCAGATCACAGGGACCTTCGTGCGGACCCGAGATGCGAGACGGGCGACCTCGCGCCTTGTGGCGTGATGTGGAGTTGATGTGAGGTCAACATCGGAGCTGGCACCTGCTTGCCTCCAGATCCTTTGTATCAGCTCTTGGCGTCTCCTGAAGGTGTGAGGGGTGTGGGGCACAGCTACTGCAAGTGAAATTCTTGGCTCTTTGGAGCTGCCTTGTCGCACAGGGTATGGCTTCTTGGGGCTCGCTGTGGAGGGGGATGCTACTAGGCTTAAGAGGCAGGATCCGCAGCGCGGTACCTTTTGAAGCCTTCAGAGAAGCGAGTAGCAGCGCGCAACTTTTGCCAAGTACTGCGAGGTGTGAGGTTGAGATGGCCAGTACTTTCGCCACCGTTGTGCCTGCAGGCTACTTAGAACCAGTGGAAAGCTGAACATCACACGCCGTTAAAGATTTGCATCGAGGTGCACCTGACCCTGAACCCAATAGATGCAGTTCATCAACTGCTCCCTTTCCTGGGTGCAATGTTTCCAGAGGCACATCCAGCATAGTTTGCCAGGGTTTGTCAATTTTCCAAAACTAGCCACTCGGCCTTCACACAGGCTTTGCCACCATGGCCCCTGGACTTTTTGGTGGTGGACATTGATGGTCCGGGAACTCATTCGCCAACGACCCGGCACTGTCCACGGTCGCCAACGACCCGTTCGAGTGAGGTGTGGATTGCTTGGTGGTCGAGGAGCTGATGCAGCTGGTGCGACCCAAGGCGGAATACATGAATTGTTATTTATTTCTGATGGACTATTAATATTTGGGCAAGATATGAATTGGATTATTACTCAGTTGATGAACTTGCGACAGGCTTTGGAAGCTTGAAGTGAGCAAAGAACCGTGCAAGAAGTTTGGGAATGAAAAGTAGGCCTAAGTAGGCAATCAGTAGAACAAGAGCTTCAAGAAGCAGCAGGTGATGCAGCTGGAGATCGCCTTCCACTTCCCACCTCCATTTCGCTTTTCAATGCATTGGGATTCTGAGAAGTCACCCCGGTGGAACGATGAGCCACTGTGATGCATTGGCCATTGGTTGGGGCCGCCCGTTGCGGAGGTATTGTCGGATCTGGTGTACCAGTGCACCCTTGATTAGCGGTTTCTCTTTGTGCTGAGGGGGGCTGAGTCTCGTGTGTTTGCATCAGCTTCATGGGAAGCTTAGGTATGACATTGACAGACTGAACCCTGTCTCTGGCTGCTCTTTGAGCTATGCACTACATAAATTCAAGCCTTTCGGCTACCATTTGCTGCGGTTGACGCCGGCCGATGCAATCTTCGTCCATGAGTCTGTTGCGCCAATTATGGAATCAGGCAGGGTGTCCACAATTCTAACGGAAACACACCCATTCTGAAGAGTTGACCATGCTCTTAGCATTTTTTGATTGATTTTGTGTGTTCCAAGTCAAGTCAGAGAAACATCCCATCCCAGATCCTCCCAAACGATCAACACATCCCTATCAAAGCAGCAAAGAATATGCAATTTGCCAGCTTCTTCACACATGTTTGATGTGCTTGTCACCCCGTGAAGCGCACGCTTCAGGCTTCACATTACTCCGATAGAGCAGCATCACTGGAACACGGCTGACATTTTGCTTTACTCCAAACGAAAGCATTTCAGCCTCACTCTTTACGGGCCTTTTTGAAAGGCCTCTGCAAAACAGCCGCTGCATCAGCCTCCTTAAGGGCTGCTTGCTGCAAGTCACTCAACGAACGAAACCATTGCCAAGCCCAGCTTTGCACACCCATGACTGCAGCCTTTTTTTTGCGCAAGGTCCCCTTCACTGACAAGGGTTCCCCTTCTGCCTGAAAACTCAGGCTCTTAGACTTGCGGCCTTCGAAGCCAAATCCGGCAAATAGCATTGCGCAAATGGCGATGATGATGATGATGATGATGATGATGATGATGTAGTGTTTCCAAAATATGGCTTGACTGCTGGTGGCCAATCACCAACTGGACGTGGTCGAGGCAAATGAGCTTCATGAGAACCATGAGCATCCGATACCAGAAACACAACCCAAAAACGGAGACTGCAAGTGTTGTAAATTACTATATACATCAAAAATAATCAATGAACACCCAATGGAGCCTCCTTCTGCGTTCCATCAGCAATATGGTTGTTTGCATCAGGCTTTTGCCCTTCTCCACACGAAGCTCCAGGTTGAGAACCATCAGGGACATGTCCTCCCACTTCTGCACTCTGAGGATCATCACCAACAGTTCCTTCTGAAGCTGCAGGATCATTCTCATCCGAGTCATTGATCTCTTTGAGTGTCTCTGCGATCGGATCGCTTCATCCTCAGTTTCCCTTTCCAAATGATCATGTTCACACTCGTCAAGAACGCCAAGCTTCTCACATCGAAAGAAGGAACTGGAATGTATCCACCCATCTCAAACCCCCTGAACAAGCTCTTGGACTCGCCAAAGATCTCGATCATGTCATAGATACGGGGTTCCTGGCGGGCCTTTAGCGCAACAGCTTTGGCTTCCTCAATACCCATGGCAGGGGGTCGAATGACTGGCGGGAGCTTGGCCATGGTCAGCCAAACGCACATCAAAACACCCCAGTTCGTGCCAAAATGCCTTTACAGAACACTTCTTACATACAGAACGATGATCATTCTGGCATGCGAAACTTTCATGAGAATGCGCGAACTGACACCTAGAACATTGAGGACCAAATGTTGTTCAAAAGCAGCCCCGCACAACACATGGTGGGTGTCACATTGTTAGTTGTGAGTCTCGCCTTGCAAATGCATTGCAACGACTGTGCTGCTATGCTTGGCTTCACTGCGCATTCGCAGCATTCACCTTCTCAATTCCCTGCCTGATCTGCCGCTTTTCGGCATCAGGCTTGGGCACCAAGCTGCCACAAGACGAATTCTTATGCTACCGGAGCAGCACCTTGTATGCGCAGTGCCGCCCTTACTGGGATGCCAGGGGTCGTGGGGATGGGACGTCAATGGAACACTGACATGATCGATTTGAAACAGTGATAGTTGGCCAGATATTATGGTACATATAAGTCAGGATTGAAGCCACTGTGGGGAGCAGGCCCCACCCAATCTCTGAGACAGCAGCCAAACAATTACACCGACATAGACCCCAGATAGCGGGTGTTTGGGTTTGTCATCCCTGGCATGACATGACGTCATTCCTGGGCATAACATTATGTCATTCTGGGCATGACATGATGTCGATCCACAGCCAGCACCAGCATCAGCACGGCAGCAGCACCAGCACCAGCACCAGCACGGCAGCAGCACCAGCACGGCAGCAGCACCCGCAAAACCAAAACGCCGACCCACAGCCAGCACCTACACCTGCACCAGCATCAGCACGGCAGCAGCACATCGCAAAACCAAAACGCCGACCCAGAGCCACACCATTGAGAAGTTAGAGCCCCCATAGCCTTCAGCTATTTGGGAAAAAGGGACTTATGGAAATTACTTAGTTGCCAAGACCGTGAAAGCTGTCTAGAAGTTGTGTTGTATGTCATGTTGTAGCGATGACTTGTGCCAGCATGTGCCAGCAAAACTTGGTGACTTAGTGCAAGGGACTCGTGAAGGCACCTGCTATTGCATAAGTCCACATGTATGCAGCTGACGGCACGCATGACGCACAACACGCAGGTGCTTAGTCTCAGACTTTGGTACTGTGTATGTCCTGCTATGCGCAGCTTCTGTATAAGTTAGGCCTCCAAGTGCACCACTCAAGTTCATTTTAGCACTGCTCGGCCCAAACGAACACACATCTTAGACTTTCACAGAATTTTTGGAGGTGACTCGAGCCATTTGGTGGAGCTGGTTGACACATTACAAGCTTTGAAAAGTTTGACGAAGTGTTCTCAAATTGCTTGCGTTTGATGAGATGACATACCGTGACATACCACTTTTTCTAGCTTGCTGAGGATGCCAGGGAATTATGTTCGCGAGTGGTTCTATGCTCCGCACCCAGCAACTGCCTTTAGCTGCCCAGCGGAATCCTAGTAGAAGGAAGATGTAGAGTTCAGATTGGCAGCAATTCAAAAAAATACACCAGCCACCAGCATAGACCCAGATAGCTAGGCAGAATCCCACGACCTGTTGACACCCGACTGGCTGGAACAAGAATGTACGCAGCCTGCGCAGCCAGCTTACGACACCTCGCACAATCAGCTGACAACAGCGCCCGACCAGCGCCGCCGCCCGTCTTAAACGCGCGCTCAGCCAGCTCACAGCACCAGCACCCAGGATCACAACACCAGCACCAGCACCGACACCCTTTCGAAAGCGCGCAGCCAGCTCATTCTTATTTGCAGCAAGAACCCCATTATCCTTACTTGGGGAATAACAACGTATGATCTTGTGCATGTAAGTTTATGCGCGCAAAAGTACGCGGCAAAGCCCGTAAGTGTCATTGTCCCAAGGCCAAGCAGTATCCAGCGCCACCATTGACTTTCCAGCATGCTTGAAGCAACGACCTGCAGAACGATAAGGCCGTATGATCTTGCGCGTATAAGTTTATGCGCACAAAAGTATGCGCACAATCTGCAAAGCCCGTAGGCTTCACTCGCCCGAGGTCAAGCAGTATCCAGCACGACCATTGTGTGTGTGTAGCATGCTGAAACATGCTGGTACAATGGGCGGTCGGGAGCCTGACGCACAGAACATTAGACGTACAAAAGTATGCTCGCAAACAGTACAGCCCTTGACACAGCTGTCGGCCAAAACAGAACCTGAAGGGTGTAAATACCCCACAGCGCTAATAGACAAAGAACGCTCAAGCGACAACACCGTATGATGTTGCGTGCATAAGTTCATGCGGCCCATGACTGCTTGCGCTTCATTGTCAGAAGCGGTGCTTGGTCGCCCTTCACTGCTGCAAGCGGCGGTTTGTTGCCCTTCACTGTCAGAAGCAGCGGTTGTTATCACTTCACTGTCAGAAGCGGGCACCAGCACCGAGCACCGGCGTGCCAGCTCACGGCGCCCAGCACCAGCACCCAGCACCGGTATAGCACCAAGCACCAGCACCCGGCGCCCTGTCTCCACCACGCGCACAGCCAGCACCCACCACCGGCGCCCAGTCGCACCACATCATGCCAGCTCACAGCACCGGCACCGGCGCCCGCTGTCTCTACCATGCGCATTGCCAGCACCCAGCACCACAGCCCGCACCAGCACCCGGCACCGGCGCCCAGCACCGGCACCCTGTTTCCAGCACCGGCAACCTGTCTCGAAAGGGCGCGCAGGCAGCTCATTGAAGAACCCCATAGCTTCGCTATCCACCGGCGCCCAGCACCAGCAACCTGTCTCGAAAGCGCGCACGGGCAACTCATTATTATTTGAAGTAAGACCCCATAGCTTCGCTATCTGGGGAATTTATATAGACTTGTTAATAAAACCCACCAGTTGTCATTTGGATTGTGAAGCCTGCCTTTTCATATTCGGGGGTTCTTCCAACGAGTCTACATTCGGTGGATGGCCCTTGTCGCTGTTGTCCAAGGCCGAATATGGTCAAACATCTCCTCACTGAACAAGGAGATCGGCCGGGAGGATGTTCCATTTACCTTGGATTTCTAGCCAGCCATCAGTGCTTGGGACAAGCCGTCGGAATTGGACACATTGGGTGGATGTGCATCGAAGTGTCCATGTGTGCGTGGACAGGTTTGCGTGCGGCATGTGCGATGGTGATGGGATGAGTACTGGATGGTGTCAGCTTCGCTGAAGGTGCCGACTACAACTCGTGACGCAGATTGCTCAACGCCAGCTCCAGCATTTCCGAGACTGAGCTATACTGAGCTTATCATCCGAACTGCCTGAAGGGTGAAAACTGTTTGACCTCTGTGTCAGTTGGCGCAGAGGCAAGAAATAGAAACCTGTGAGTGCTGGTCAATGGACAGCCTACAAAGTGATAAAGTGCGGCCAAAATTGCCCGAGCTCAAAATGAGGATGAACGTGTATCATGAAACCAGTGGAATTTATTGTCATCCATAGTGCAGGTGGGTTTAGAGCAGTTGCATTGTTTGTCAGGCAGTTCCGACCCGTGGCAAGGCCATAAGTCAATGCTTTCGGCTTTCGACTTCAAGTGGAGTTTTTGGTCGCACAAATGTTGATGTCACTAGAGAGGTTGCTCCAACTAGTCATTTTGTGAAGGTTCCTGTTGGAGCAAGGCAGCGAGGCATGCACACCTGCCCATTGAGCCACCATACATACATACATACATACATACATAAATACATACATACATGGCTCAAGGTTTAAGGTCTCAAGCTGGCACGCCCCATAAAGACCAGCTGGTGCGCCTCCCGCGGCGTAGCGCCACGTGATACATCGAGTTTGATCTAGGCACTACCGCCTTTGAGATCATCGATTACCCTCTTTCTTTGCCCGCAATTGAGGGACAAGGTCTTTGGCAACCCTTCAAGGAGGACTACCACCTCGTCACCTCAACTTGCGGGACTTCCTGACCGCTGGACAACTCCTCTGAAGGTTCCTTTGACCTGATCGAGGAAGGGGCCCTGATCTGTGCCAACATCCACAAGAATCTCAACGTCCTGGAGGAACGCCACATCCTGCAAGATGACTTCATGGTACAGCTTGCAGCAAGCCAACCTGCAATAACTGGATTTGGCAAGACAAACTGTAACCAGGCACACGATGCAGACGATGTGGGACCAGTTGGACTGGGGCTACTTCCAGTACCGGCAAGGGCAAAGGCTATGGGAAGCCACCCAACCAGGCCAACAAAGGCCAATATCAACGGCCAGCTCCTCCACCAGGCCTACAAAAGCCCTCTGGCTCAGAGGTGCATCCGGGGAACTCAGCTCCAGCATGTGCAGGGGACACGGCACATACTACAGCTGAACTAGCTAATACAGGGGGGCTCACAACTACCAATGCAGGGACCAGACATTACAAGGTAGTCCAGTGCACACCAATTATGACTTTGAGCCTGATACCACACAGCACCATTTTGACAATCAGGCACCACCGGCACGGGGGGCGATGCATGGTGGTGCTTATCTCTCCATTCGAGGAGGGGCCACAAGCACTGAAGCCAGCGCATCGAGCACACCAGGAAAAGTCTCAGGCATGCAAGACTATGCCACTTCCACGGACTGCATCCTGCAGAACCTCACCATGGCGGTGGGCAACCCAAGTGCCAGGTGCTATGCAAATGCACCCTGGCGCGGTTTCACCTGGATATGCGCTCTACTCCAGGAAACCTTGGGGAACACTCCAAGAGGCTGTACAAGAGTCCCTGGACACAGCTGAGGCAGTCGACGTCCACACTTTGCCAGGACTGAGGGATTTGTGGAAGCAACACGACCTCAATGTTCAAGGTGATGCCAATCACTTTGTCAATTCTCTATGGCTCCTCTCTCAAAGCAGGGCATTTCACTACAGGTTTGCTGAGATCAAAGAAGGAGGTTACCTCACAGACCATGTTCAACCGCCCATTCTGGTACCATACCCAGATGATTGGCCGGATGATGTCAGTTTCCAGCAGCTGATCAACAACTGGGCAAACCAAGGATTGAGTCAATACCTCATGGATGAAAAGAAGGTGGTGATCTGTCCGACCAAACACAGCAAACCGCTCAATCCCTATGGCACTTTCACCATGCCCAGATCACTGGATGGCTTTGCACGCACATCGACAGAGTTCGTGCCAGCAGTTCTGATCTGTCACCGAGGCCAGACCCATCAGGAAGGGCACTACTTTGCAATCCTCATTTACAGGGACTTGATGTGGATAGCAGATGATGGAAAGGTACCAACTCACCTTCCACATCTCACGCCAAGCCTGGCCAGCCAAATCACTCAAGTTTGGGCAGTCAGTCTATACTGTTTCAAAACCCCGCAGCAAGTCCTACTTGGACTACCAAAGCCTGTGGGACCAGACTTCGATCCTCCACTACATCCAAGCCCAACGAAGAAAGCCAGGTATGCCCAGGAACACAACGTCCTTCACTTTGGCAACGTAACCCACATGGGTCGCCAGGTGATTGACTGGTACTGGACCAGAGAAAGTGGCATCTACATCTTGGCGGAAACGCACTTGGACCCACAGAAGCACTATGAGATCTGCCAGTACTTCAGCATTCGAGGCAGAACTGCTTTTGGCACACCAGCGGCACCCAATCAGGGCAATACTGGAACACATGGAGGCCTATTGGTGTTGGCAGACCCAGCATGCGGGCTCACACAGTTTGAAGACTTCACCATCCAAGGCTGTGGATACCAAAGTTTCCTGTGGCAGGCAACGGAAACGACACAAACTCTGCCATCCTGGCAAAGTTGCTGGCACTGTTGACGCATACCACCCATCCCTATGTGGTCATCGGAGATTGGCAGAACCAACCTAGCGCTCTGGCAAGCACTGTACTTCCAGCCAAAATCCAGTTCGGGATATTGGCGCCAGATCATAGTGTTCTGTCAGGAAACACCATTGACTTTGCCATACAAACACCATTGACTTTGCCATACTCCACAACACCCTGGCTGGCACCACATCACTCCTCACAGAGTGGGCAGCACCATGGAGACCACATGCTCTCCTCAAACTGCAATTTGACATTGAGCAGCCACCATGGAGTACCGCCAAATGCAGCACTTTCCACCACTGCCAAAGGTACCGGACATCGATTTCCGGCCATGGACCACGTACCAACATGTGGTCGAGCTCTATGGCAATCCACCCAATGATCCAGCACAGGCCTGGGCCGATTGGATCTCCAAACTTGTCCAGGAACATCCCTGGGCGCCGCAAGGCAGAGGATCCAATCTACATGCAGTGCACAAGCCGCTCATGCCTCGTCCCAAGGGCCAATCATGGAAGAAAGGAAAGCCGGCATTTGGGGAACAACTACGAGCCCGATTTCATCTTGCTCTGCAACAACCTGACACCTGCACGACAGGTCCCATTCGAGGATTCACAGGCAAGCCCACCAGCATTGGATGGGAGCTCCCACCTCGGGACAGTTCCTTGACACGTGTCACCATTGGCACAGATACAGAGACCCGCATGCAGGCGAACTGATGCTCCAAAGCATCAATCATCAACTCCAAGAAGCTCAGACAGCTGCAAATGAGGAAACCATGCTCCAGTACAAGCGGACATCAAAAAGGGCTTCGTGGACTCTTCAGGAGCTTGAAGAGTAGTGAGTTGGCCTGGGAGAGACCCTACCGCATGACACCAATGCCACAACGTATGAATCAACGTCTTGCAGATTGGGGAGGCCTCTGGAACATCCGACAGGACAATGACCCATGCCCGAGACCCAGTCTACAACAGGCAGCACAAGAACAAGCCCAGAACCTGGATCCGATCACACCAGGACTTCTCGGCCGAGATGCGGTCTCCACCCAACTGCTCAGGAGCATTCCTCCGCTGGCATCGACTCCTTTGCTGCAGCTGTATCAAAAGATGGAGAGTACGGCTGAGCTGCCCACACAGCTGCAAATGCACCTGGTAGTGATGCTTCCCAAGAATCCACGGCTGGAGAGACCAATAACACTCACATCCACATTGTGGAGAGTGTGGTGCAAGCTACGCAAGCCAGTACTGGACCAATGGCAGCAACAGCTACCAGAGTGCATGAACCATGACAAAGCCCGGCCAGGAGCTAACGTCCTCCATGTCGCCCTTGAGAGATTGCTTCGCCAAGAGGTCACCAAAGCCCGGCAGCAACATGGCATCACGGTGCTGATGGATATGTCCACCTTCTATGACACAACAAAGCTGGAGAAACTGCAAGAGGAAGCAATTCAGCTGAACTACCCACCGCTCCTCCTTGAGTTGGCCATGCAACTTTACAGTGGACCAAAAGCCATTCTAGCAGAGCAAGAGATGACCCCTTTTTTCCATGTCGACAATGGGGTCCCAGCTGGGTACCCACAGGCGCCACTCCTGGCAAAAGCAGTCCTTGCACCGCCCTTGATCCCATGGACGGAGGGCAAATCACCCCAAGGCCTACTTATCCAGCTGGGTGGATGATGTCGGTTTTGATCTGGCTGACACAACACCCATGAAGGTGGCACAGCAGGCAGTTGAGGCCTACAGGGAGCTCCAAACCCGTCTGACCACTTTGGGCCTCAAAGTCAACCCAAAGAAAACGGCTTTCATTGCCACTGACAAGGCAACAGATCAGGCACTGAAGTGTCTATGAGCCGCCAGTCTCCTCTGTTATGAGAGATTTGGGCATTGATCACCAGGCTGCGCGACGAAGACGGATCCCAGTCCTCAGACAGCGCTTCCAAAAGGCCAAACAGAGGAAATTCAGGCTCCGGACACTGAAGATTCCAGCCCTGAAAATTCGGTTGAGATTGCATCGAGGAGGACTCCAACCGGTTGCACTGGGGGGGATAGAGGCACAAGGCCTAGCACCAAGGTACAGGACGGCCTTAAGAAAGGCAATGGCCACCCACCTTAGACATCGCGCCGGCGGACTTTTGGATATAGCACCTACCTGCACAGCACCAAATACATTGATCCGGCAGATCAGGTCATCTTGCACCACATCAAGGCCATGCACACCTTCTACCACAACTGGCCGAGGGATCAACTCCAGCACCTT